TTTTAACTCTTTCCGGTCAAATCGGTCCCTGATGAATATAAAAATGTTTCATCTTAATTACAAGGTTCATAGACCCTCATAATACCAAAAGTAAAGAAAAAATATTCAAAAGTTGTTTTGGGTTGCTACTAGGGCTACCTCAAATTTGTGCAATATATTGTACAAAAGTCCGCAAAGGAGTAAAAGCACTCAAGTAAACTCAATAAATATTTCACTAAGTTTAACGGAATAATACTTTTATTTAATTGAAAATGCACTTATTTATGTACAAAATAATTGATTTTACTGCAGTTATGTTGGAATGAATATTTTATATCTTTTCAAGTATCTATCTTTAGTTAAGATTTGCATCATAAAAAATTAAATTTTCTCCATGAGAAGAGAATTATATAAAGAAATTTGGAAAATCTTCAAATACAATTACAATATAAAATACAAATGATCCCTTTTAATAAACCTTCCCGGTTTTTCTGCCTTCAGTAAATCAAGAAATCAAAAACCTACCCTTCACTGCAACAACAGCGCACAAGCTCTTCAAAAACCACGGCAAAAACCACCTTAATTGCCTGTTTAAAACATTACATAATGGGCCGCATGCATACAAACTAAGCAAATCGCTAGCTTAGAGTGCAAAGTTGCTAAGTCCATTTTTTTCAATTGTACAGGAGGCACAAAAAACGTTCCTAAGTAATTTTCTTTAAGTATTTTGCAAAACTTTGAATGCAATGTTTCGCGTTTTTCATTTACCCTTCATTGAAAAAATAATAAAAAAAAGTCTGCTTTTTTACAAATTTTGTAGACAATTTTGTGACTTAGCAAATTTTCTACTTTTTTCTTAAAATTTTTTTGTTGGACTTAGCAAAGTTTTCAATGAATTTTTCCAATATGTACAATACGAAAAATCCATCTCGTAGGTACATTTTAAGAAACAATTTATTAGAAGAAATTGTTTAGGTTCTTTTAATAATAATAATAACACAAGGGAATAGTGATTTTGTTGCATCAAATGTTAAAGTTGTTTTTGATAGACTTTTTTATGCTGATTACTATAAGTGACCATCAATTCAAGGTGCAGGGATGGTATTTTCAGGGATAGTAGTCGAGACTTCTAGCTTTAAGTTTCTTTGCTATGGCTTCTAAAATATTGCAAAAAACGCGATTTTTTGACACTTTGACCTCGTTTTTTTCCAAATCTAGAGCTGATGGAGACTTTATACTTACGGATTCTATCCAAAACAGCTTTAACATTTGATGCGACGAAATTGTTTCCCATTTTTGTTCCCTTGTGTAATAGATTGGGGCTTATACATATGTAGGTCTTTGGCCGAGCTTCTCCTCCGATTTGTGGCGTGCGCCTTGATGTTGTCACACAAACGGAAGGGACTTACAGTTTTACGCTGTTATTGATGGCAGAAATACACTCGGAGGTTTGCCATTGCCTGTGGAGGGCAACCGCTGTTAAGGATAAACCTTTTCTTCTAAATTTGTTTGTAATGTTGCTTTGACCAGGGCTTGAACCCAGGCCCTGTACAGTGGCAGCGCGCACTGCTTACCACTACACCACAGCGGCCATTCTTTTACGATCCCATTAATGGGATTTTCGGTTCAGACTAAATAAATTTTCTGAAAAAGAAGATTGCGATTTTTTTTCATACATATTTTTAATTTGAAACGTAGTTGCGAACTTGTTTATTATAAACAACAACTTATACATTAAAATAATAACGAACAAACAATTAATGGTAGATTAAATTAATAGTATTGTTCGCTGAAACTAAACTACACACCAAAAAATCATTCATGTAGCAAACTATCGTAAAAATTATGATGGTCTTTAGACAAAGTTGCTTTTAAGTACTGCAAATCTTCGTACTTCCTTGCTGTAATTCGGCGTCTGCCTTGGTGAAGTTGCTGCAACTTGGACCACTGTAACGGGACTATACTTTTGTCTAATCTTTGAGGAAGAGTTTTCCATAGATTCCAAAGATATTACAAGCCAAAGTTTCATTTTCAAAATTCATAAACTTTGATTCAATTGCGCGGGCAAAAGATACATTTTAAATTAATCTTTCTTGGCCAATAACAATTGGCTTAGACCTAAGACATCATAACTATTACAATACGGTCAAATGCCATTTATTTTCCCCCATACAAAATCGACCCAGCCTAATATACATACCTACATACATAGGTATATTAATATTCAAAAATAATGTTGTTGCAAAACCCTCAATACAAATCGAATTCGATAGCGTAAAAAAAATATTCATATTTTTTGGACTTATCAAATTTTCTGTGACTACTTTGGACTTAGCAATTTTGCACATCACGGAATAAAACGGGTAGAAATAAAACAAGCAGTTAGATCCTTTCAGAAACGGTGCATTTTCAGTTTTCCTTG